GGAATTAATAGATACAACCATATAACATGGCTCAATGATTAAATATATATTTTCCTATGCCACGTCATTGCTTAGACAGTTTGTCCTTTAGTGTCTTAGTTAGCGACAAAAGAAACAGTTTTCTTTACTGTCAACATACACTGCCTTATTCCCTTTAACCTTTTGGATACCCATGTTTTGTGCTAGCCTAATCCTATTATCATCCTTCTTCTTTGCTTTGCCCTTCCATTTGGGCCTAGAAGAAGATGGTATAGACTAGGTTAGATTGATAGGAACGCCTATACTTTTGATTATCCCTTCATTTGTTACCAATTCTATAAGAATATCAGCAAGTGTGAAATCAAACTGATTCCTTATTTAGTTCACTCTAACAGAGTCGAACGAGTTTGGTAACAAGGCTATAATCATGTCAACTTGAAACTTACCACCCAAGTCAGCCCTATTGATCTCCAGCTAATTTTAAATAATAAATAATCATTTTCCAAAATTTGATTTCATATTGGAGTTCCTTAGGCTATCTTAATGCTATTCAAGTCTGTCATCGTACTTTGGCATACTCTCTATCTAATCTCACCAAAACATCTTATTGACATTTAACATGATGCTTGAAGAAAATAAAATAATGTAAATGTTAGCTTTGGAGCGTATTCGAGGTAAACTCTAGAATATTGCACCAATTCATCTCATTTGCCTTATTTCACTTATTCAAAGCATTAATGTTCTCTTGGGTATCTTAAAGTAAAATGATTAGGTTTTAGGAGTAGTAAATACATTTGTACCACCACGTTGTGAATAAAATATCTAAATTCCTTTTCTAGTCATTATAAATGAAGTCCACATACATTGAAATTAGCAAGCAGATAAAATGGATTAGACATAATCAGTCTGAATATAAATGCATTCATACAATATGCAAGGTGAATTATTAATAATGTCATGCATAGTTAAAATTAAAATGAGCTTGTTAACCACATAATACAATAAATCTCAATCGAACAAGAGATCATTATCATTATTGGTGAACAATCCCTTTTAATTAATGCGGGTCCCTCAACTCTGTAGCATAATAAATCAACCAATCAATATGTCAATAACTTATCCTGTTGGAGGAGTTCATTATTACTATTATTGAGATTCATTTGTTATTAGGCGAGCACTTCCATTAAAATAATAATATGTGGGTCCCTTAACCACTGCATGAAAAATCGAATAACCAATACGCCAATAATTTATTCGGTTGGCGAAGTTCATTATTGCTATTGGCGGGCAAATCCCATCATCTCCATATCTCTTAAGACAATGCCTTGTCTATATATATGAAATAATTCCCGATTATGTTTAGCCTTTCTAAAATCACCTAGTGTAGACCACTCCGTTGGGGAGCTAACACTATTGATTTTAGATTGAGTGTATAACGTTATTAATGCTCTAACGAAAAATAAAACATTAAATATATTGTCATTATAATCTAGACTCTTTAAATCATGCGTAGGACCTTATTTTTAAAGATCTAATTCTAATGAACATTTAATATTTTTATTTTCATGAGACAATCATTCTTGTAATATTAAGACTCTTCAAATCATGCGTGGGGCCTTATTTTTGAAGATCTAATTACAATGGTTTTAATAACGAAGGCCATGGGGCAATGTATAAAAATCCCCGCTCCCACTTAATTTTTAGTCATTAATAATTAGGGTTTTCAATTTACATGATATAATGCATGCAAACGTCTTGATTTTAATCCCATTAAATTTAGAAAATATTTGGACTTTAAATGATTCACTAATATTTAATTTGAAGCACACTTTAAAAATAATTTACAAAAATAATTTTGCGTTTCCCAATAGGTGCCCTCAAATTAATTAGTAATCAAATCTAATTAATTTTCATAACTTAATTAATATAAATCAAGCCATTTAAATAAATATCATGGATCCAATGCATGAATAATAATTAATTAACAATTATATATTCCATGCATTTCATACATCGCATAAATAAATAAATGACAGATAAAACAAATAAAATGGCCAATGGAATCAGCTTTTAACATTTCACTACTCTAAGTATTACGGGAAGATCATCCATCGGCTTGCAAACACCCATATAAGGCTGGTACGCACCGGGAGAAGCGAAACGGCGGTCCGAATGCGCTTGAATGGTCTTACACGCACCAACACGCGCTTACCACGCGCCATCCAACCTCTTCACGCGCCTGGACGCGTCTCTAGAGGTCTCCAGCGCGTGCCACGCGCTCCTACGCGCCTGCACGCGCTGGGAGAATGCTGAAGCGCGTGCCACGCGCTCTCACGCGCTGGCAATTCGCATACGCGCGTGCCCGCGCGTTCGGGCACGCGCGTATGCGAATTGCCAGCGCGTTCCACGCGCGGGCACGCGCGTATGCGAATTGCCAGCGCGTTCCACGCGCTGGCACGCGCCATGCGCGCTGCTGTGGTTCCGGCGCGTGTCATGCACGCGCCTTGCTACTGCTGGTGCATGGGGCAACTTCCAGCCGCACTGCACTGGATCTTTGCCTCGCTGAACTTTGATCCGACGGTTGCTGGTGCGCGCGCATGTATACCGCACCACACCGGATCATCCGTCCACCTTCCGGAGCTGTCCCTTACCGCCGGTCATACTCCGGTCGCCGGAAAATCGCCGAAAAATCCAGAAAAATTAATAAAAATTTCCAGAAATTAAATTAGGCCTAAAAAAATTCCAGAAAAATTCTGGAAAATTGCTAAAAAATCCCAGAAAATTCCTGAAGCCTAATTTAACCCTCTTGGACCTTCTTGAAGCTTCATAGCATCCTTTGATGAATATTACATGACTTTAAAAATATTTACAACTTGAAATACAATGGGAAAAATAAATTACATCATTGAACTTTCAAACGGCTAAATCAAAGCCTTAATTACATTCATCCAAAGATAAAATTACATTCAATATTCCTATAAGCTTCATCCATGGCCCAACCATACATCATCATTCATTCACAATTATTCATACATCATCATGTATATATCAACATATTAAATCATACATCAACATACATCAATAAAAATATATATGAATATAATTTTGGATCCATGAATGATGATTTTCATAAAATCATGATCTCTAGTAATGAATCAAACCATGCTCTGATACCACTGTTGGGAAACGTGCTAGTTTTAAAAACTTTTCGAGGGATTTAAATTCATAGATCTTGATTCATTACATAGAGACAAGTTTCATGCAAAAATAAAACATGATGTATCATTCAATTAAAAGATTGAATACTTACATCAAGGTTTGAGTAAACCTTAGATCTCTCCTCTAAAGTGAATGTTCTCACTTATTGTAGATCCCTTAGCAAGATGCATTCTCCTTGGATCTCCATCTTCTTGGTAATTGTTTTGCCTTTAGGAATCACTCATATGCCCCCATGAATGACCTTGGAAAACTAGGCTTGTGGGAGCCTCCATTAGATGAGAACATAAACCCTAATTTTCTAGAGAGAGAAAATTTATTCCTTTTTTCTTCTCATCAAAATCACCCCTAAAATATACATAGACCATGTATATTTATAGGCAACATAAAGGTAAAGAAAGGAAACAACTAATCCTTTTCAATCTCTAATTCACATGTCTCAAATCTAATATGATTCCAATATCAAGTTGGGTTATGAGTGAGAATCCATTGGGTCTATTATTTTATTGGCTACAATGAATTAATGATTGGCTCGGTCCATGGACCCAATTAAATTAATTCATAAATTAATTTCTACTCCACTAAAAGAAATTAATTGAACTCCAATTAAATAATAAATAACCTCTAAGTCAATGTTGCACTTTGACCCCTCTATGCATAATTAGTTATCGGATAAATAATGCCATCAATCCGACTACTTAATTAATATATTTATTTTGGTCCCTTTGATTATTTCTGGCTCGATCACAATAAAACATTTGTTTGACAAAAATAATAATTTAATAAATAAATATATAATAAATCATTTTGTCTAAAATCATACGAAGGCCTTCGAATTTACTTTGTGATCAACCATAATCAATACAAAATAAATACAAGTAGCAATGATGCAAATATTGAAAATATAACCCTCTAACTATTAATTACATAATTACCCGAAGTGTCGGTCTAAGGATCCCGAAGAATCCGCCGAACAAATCAAAGTAATTATTAATTAATAAAAGAGTCTATACTTTTCTCATGCTTAAGAGTCAAATGCCATAACGGTGATAGGGAGTAATTGCATACGACGGCTCTCGCAATCTATCTCAACCTAACGCGGATCCAGTTCAAGTCTTAATTAATTATGAGTCCATCCATAATTACCGACTATGAACAATTTATAATTACTATTTATATATCATGCATTGATTGTCATCACATACATATATATAAATATTTCTTGTAATTACATGGACACTATCAATTTCATAGTGAATCGAAATATAATATATTGAATTCACCAATTGTATAAAACATAAATATTTCAGAAACGTCAGGAACATATGTCAATTAATCCAAACAGGAATTTGCTATGCCAGGGCATATAAATCCCAACAGGTAATACCCTTGTTGATGGCTGTGTCTTTAAGCAGCAACTTCACAGATGAATCTGCTCTTATAGCCATCAAATCTCATATCACTTCCGACTCCAATAACATCATAGCAAGCAACTGGTCAGAAGGAACCTCCTTTTGCAGTTGGGTCGACGTCTCTTGCAGCACTAGGCGCCAAAGAGTGACGGCCTTGAATCTTCCAAACATGGGTCTTGGAGGTACCATTCCCAAAGAAATTGGCAACCTCTCATTCCTTAATTTTCTCAACATCAGTATTAACAAATTCCATGGCAATCTCCCTCGTGAATTGGGCCATTTCGTCGGCTGAAATCATTAGATTTGAGTTCCAATGAAATCTCTGGGGACTTGCCTACAAATTTGGGGTTCTTAATCAAGCTACAAGTCCTGAGTCTGTATCACAATCATCTCATGGGATCTATTCCCCGAGAGATAGGTTTTCTTCATAGTTTACAGATACTAGACATCGGCAACAATTTTATCTCAGGAGTCATTCCGTCCACCATATTCAATATCTTCTCCTTGCGGGCGATTTTGCTGAATAATAACAGCCTAGATGGGACCCTACCAATGGAAATGTGCAACAATCGTCTAAAGTTGCAAGTGTTGGATCTTTCAAGGAATCAGTTAAGTGGTCAACTGCCAACCAGCTTACACAAATGTACCCAACTTCAAGCTCTATGGATGTCAATCAATGATTTCACAGGAAGCATGCCTATGGGGATCAGCAACTTAACCAAGCTCAAAGAGTTAGCACTCTGCAGAAATAAGATGACAGGTAAGATTCCACCTTCGGTTGTTAATATGTCCAACTTAGAGGGCATCGACATTGGTGATAACAATATCCACGGCAGTATTCCTCAGGAATTAGGACAACTATTGAATTTGATTTTTTTATCCACGGCAATTAACAACCTTGGTGGTGCACCACCACACTCAATTTTCAACATCTCTACATTGGAAACCCTTTCCCTCTCTAGGAATCATTTTTTTGGGAATCTTCCGTCAACTATAGGCCTTTGGCTTCCAAATCTAAAGTATTTTTACCTTCCTGAGAACCGATTCAGTGGACCAATTCCTTGCCCTATCTCAAATGCCTCAAAACTAACTGATATCCATCTAAATGAAAACTTTTTCAACGGTAGTCTACCCATGACTCTTGGGAATTTACAGCACCTTCAGGATCTCAGGCTTCCATTTAATAACTTGACCAATGATCAGTCTGTCCCTGAAATAGATTTTCTTTCTTCATTGACCAATTGCAAGCTTTTGAAGGTTCTAGTCATAGAAGGTAATCCCCTGAATGGCATTCTTCCAAAGTTCTGGGGAAATTTGTCTATTTCACTACAACAATTTTATGCAGATTCTAGTGGCATCAGAGGCATGATTCCTAGTGAAATTGGTAATTTGAGCAACTTAGTGTTATTGGAGTTGGGAGGTAATGACTTGACAGGATCAGTTCCTAATACACTCGGGCAGCTAAACAAAATCCAAGTTTTGGGAATATCCGAAAATCTAATACAGGGGTTGATACCCAACTTTTTTTGCAATTTGACAAACTTAGGTGCGTTGTATTTGCAAAGAAATAAGTTTTCTGGCCCAATCCCAAACTGTTTAGGACTAGTAACTTCATTACGAATCCTCTATTTAGGCTCCAATGCATTGACTTCAAAAATCCCACCAACTTTGTGGAGCCTTGAGGATGTCATTACTCTGGACTTATCCTCCAATATTCTTACCGGCTCTCTACCTCCAGAAATTGGCAATTTGAAACACATTAGACATTTGTATCTATCAGAAAATCAGTTCACAGGTGAACTTCCAAGCACCATTAGGCAACTCTAGAGCTTGGAATCCTTAGATCTATGTCAGAATAGATTACAAGGCCCCATACCCTTGTCATTTTCTAATTTGATAAGCTTGAAATCCTTGAACCTCTCTCGGAATGATCTTTCTAGTGTCATCCCCAAGTCGTTGGAGAAACTTTCAGATCTTAAATATTTGAATGTTTCTTTCAATAGACTAATAGGAGAAATCCCCACTGGAGGACCTTTTGCCAACTTCACCCCCGAGTCTTTCAGCCAAAATGATGCATTGTGCGGAGCACCTCAATTCCATGTCAAAGCATGTAAAAGTCACAGAAAATCAGGGAGGATTCAGATTGTCCTAAAATTAATTGTACCATCGGTTGTTTCATTAGTGTTAGTTGGAGTAGCTCTTTTAATTTGGTGGCTACAATTCCGAAACAAAAATAAGCAAATTCCGATTCAAGTTGATCCACCAATTAGCATAACACATAGAAGAATTTCATATCATGAGATTCTTTATGCAACAAACCATTTTAGTGAAGGCAATTTGATTGGGAAGGGAAGCATTGGCACAGTATACAAAGGGACATTCTCTGATGGGATGATAGCTGCTGTAAAGGTCTTTGATTTGGAGTTGCAAAGAGCATTCACTAGTTTTGATGCAGAGTGTGAAGTAATTCGCAACATTCGCCACCGAAATCTTGTCAAGATAATTAGCAGTTGCTCGAACCTCGATTTCAAAGCCTTGGTGCTTGAATACATGCCTAAGGGAAACCTTGAGAATTGGCTTTATTCTCACAACTACTTCTTGAATATTGTTGAAAGATTAGGCATTATGATAGATGTGGCATCTGCCTTGGAGTATCTGCATCGTGGTTCTTCAACCTCTGTTGTGCATTGTGATCTAAAGCCGAGCAACATCCTATTAGATGAAGACATGGTCGCGCATGTAACTGACTTCGGCATAGCAAAGCTCTTGGTAGAGAACAAGTCAATAACACACACAAAGACCTTGGGCACCATTGGGTATATGGCACCAGGTAAACTTAATTCATTTTCTAATGATATGCTACAACACAATCGTTTAAATATTTTAGCTCTATATATAAATCTCCTGATATATGAAAAAAAAAAAAAAAAAATAAAATAAAAAATAAAAAATAAAAAAACACCATGAAGAGCATATAAACATTTGTGTTTCAGTGTTTTTATTCTGTTTGCATATGTCATAAATAATACTTCATCTATTGTGAGTCACAGTTCTCAAAGCACCCAACTATTATGGGATGAAGGGAATAATAATAAGATAATAACTACTATACATATTAACTAATTCATTTTTCGTTTAATAGTATATATATAAACATTTGCGTTTATAAAATAGACGTTGAGAAAAAGAAAAAAAAAAATTGAATATTCAAAATTTAATTAGGATTGAATATTCAAAATTTAATTAGGACTTATTATGAAAGGAATGGTGATACGCAGGCCGAAGAATTGCAGTAAAAATTATTTTCCTTATGGAAGAAAAAAGAAAATAAAAAGAAAAAAGAATATGAAAAAGACCAATGATTTTTGCCCTGTTGGACCTAAATAATAAGACTTCTAAATTTCTAATTTCTCAACGTCTATGTTATAAACCTTCTCTTAGTGGTTACTTAAATCCACACATCCAAATATGTAGATCAATTCAATAATAAGAAGAAAAAAAACCACGAAGAGCATAAATATAAACAATTGCTTTTCAATGTGTTTATTCTGTTTGCTTATGCTAACTTGTCATAAATAATAATAATAAGATAAGATCCTTAGGAAGAAGAAGAAGAATATATGCCAAAATAATATGGAACTACTATACATATTAACTTGTTCATTTGTTGTCGGGGGTAAGCATCTCCATGTATTTTGCTTATCGTTCCTTTCTTCTCTGTACATAATGTGTTTTTGTCTTTGTTGAGTTGATAATGAGTAGTGATGTTGCAGAGTACGGGTCAGCAGGAATAGTGTCCATTGTTGGTGATGTATATAGTTATGGAATCCTACAATTAAAAACATTTACAAGAAAGAAACCGACCGATGATCTATTCGTGGGAGAAGTGAGCTTGAAGAGTTGGGTATCTGAGTCTTTTCCGAGTGCAGTGATGGATGTTGTTGATGCTAATTTAGTAAGTGGAGAGGAAGAAAATTTTACTGCCTTACAAAAAATTTTGCCATCTATCTTCAAATTGGCTCTAGAATGCACATCACAGTTACCTGAGGAGAGGATTAACATGGATGATGCCCTAGTTAGGCTCAAGAAGTTCAAAACCATAGTTCTTGAAAATTTAATGGGGTCTTGAATAAAGTGTGTCTGCAAGTAGTTCTAATTTCTTCTTTAATTATGAATTGGAGGAAGTAATGTCTTATAGTATAATATATCATGTTATGAAGAAGTTGGTCATACATGATCGTTGTAACTTCAAAAAATATAATTTTTTTCCAAGCAATTAACTAAATAGTTTATGAATAATTGTTTTGCAATATCTTAGAAAATTTTAGCTTGTTCTACTTGCATCCATCTAACTATTATCTTTCATATAGAACATATAAATTTTTTTTTCTTTCTCGTTTATCCAAATTTGAATCAGAACCTTAACTCATCACATAAAATGTCATGAGAGTTGTTAATTCTAGTATTAAAATCAGCCTTTAACTGATATGTAAAGGAGAAAATATTGGGTGTCCAGTCATGCTACACCATTGGCAATGCCCATTCGATAAAAACGCACGCTGTCATCTTCTTGTCGGCACTTTTACACGAGGGACAAACATTTCTACATGTAGGACAGATCTGTTTTCAACCAAATGTAGGCTAAACAGCCTTAGTGGATGTTTGTCCTTGTTTACCCATGAAATTTGTCCCAACTACTATACAAAATTATTGACAAAATGCTGATATGACATTTTCACATAAGATACGTTACTAATGATATAATATGCCTAGTGTACCCAATATTTTCTGGACCTATCATCTAAATTTTGTTGTAAATATGATTTGGTCATGATACCAAGTTAGCGTAACATCCTATATTATATTTGTATTTATTAATGACATAATTTGATATAGATAACAACTGATCATATTGAGTGGTTCTAGATAGTTGATTTTTCTATTGAACCATATCCTATGAGACAATAATTAATTAAATCAACTTGATAAATGTAATTACACAAAAATAATTTCAATTACTTCTCATCGTACAAGTCTTATCTTTGTTTTTATCCTTCACGCAATTTATTTCTTGTATAAAAAATGGAAGTTCCAGTGTTTTCCTATGAAAAAAGTCACATGGATATCTTTCCATTAGAGGCTAAATTTTTACAATTTTTGAGATCGAGAATTCAGAAGTTCAAACCACCCAAAAAAAAAAATAAAAAATAATAATAATAATAATAATATCTAGGGCTATGATTTCGAATATAATTAAAAAGTAAACTGGCATCGTTATACTTGGTTAATTTAGTGTTTAGTTTAGTTTAGTTTTCTGTGAATAAATTTCTATTGAAGATGTTAAGGGCATTGTGCCTAAAGAAACAACAAAATGTGAGAGATTGGAAAAGGGTTATTGCTTTCACACACCCAACAAAATGTGAGAGATTACACAAGAGCAACTCCACCGGATTCTTCAATTTTTAAGTGGGGCATTCAAATGGCTAGTTTTAACATGAAGAACCACTCCAACTGATATGTCAAATGCCTAGTTGTCATTTGGCATATGATCAAAATATGTTAAATTTGATATACAACTTTTTCATATGTGAAATGAATCATTCTTTTAATGTATAAGTCCCACATATTATTAAAACTTGCCTGGGAAAAAACTTCGACGTTGAATAAAACTTAGGATAAAGTGCAGCAACACTCGATTTGCCAAACAGACACACAAATACAAGCTACCTATTTCTTTTTTTTTTTTTTATTAATAACACCATCTCACACAATAAAAGGACAAAGACACTGCATTACCCTTTGCTATATAATTAACAAATATAACCCTTTTTATTAACTCAAATACTCCTTTTATCTCTTCACTTTCTTCTCTTTCGCCTCTCAAACCCTTTACCCATACACCCAGCCCCCAGCCCCCCACACACATACCCACAGCCGCAGCCGCAGCCACAGCCACAGCCATACCCGCACACGCCACAACCACCAAGAAGAACTCTGTAATGGAGAACCGGACTCCTACCTCACACCCCACCACAACCACCGCCACACTTGCCACCAAGAAAACCATACCACCAATGCCACTGCCTCTGCCTCAACCGCGCGCAACCACAATACCCACTGCAGCAGCCGCCGCTGCAACAACACCCACCGCCACAACCACCGCCACACCACACCCACTGCAACCACAACCACCACCACCACCACCACCACCACCACTCTCTCACAACACCATCCCACCTGAAAATTAACACCCAAAAGCCATACCCAGTTATCAATTAATTGGCTAATCGGAGAAATTCTGTATAGATATGTGTGTGTATATATATACATATATTTGTAGAGAGAGGTTCATAAGTTCTGCAATCGTCACACAAGTACACCCTTTCTCTCTCTCTCATCTTCTCGTGGAAATGATATCTGGTGGTGCTGGTGGTGGGCCGAATAAAAGACAGCAGGTCAGAAGCAACAGTCGCCTCTCCTCCACCGTCATCGACTCCGCCCGTCCTGACGGAACCCTAACATAGGCATCCAATCACCAAAAACCGTCAGGATGCCAACGTCATCCTCCGCCTCTACATCAACGAACCTTCCTCCTTCGAATCCGACGAGGCCGACTGGCCGAGTCTAGATCCGCCTTCGATTCCGTTGACCAGTCCGACGGCCAGATTTACCTCCACTAGGATGTCCTCCAACGATCAAACTATTTCGCCGCACTGTTATCGGATCGATGCAGAGAGACTCTGGCGACGTCGACTCCGAGAGTGGCTGACACTGCCGTGAAATAGTGGAGTGAAACTGTGGCGGCGGGTTCAAGGTTGATTTTCCTGTGAAGATTGTTATTGGTTAGATGATGAATTTGGGTATGGGAGAGATCGGGTTTTCTGGATTTGTTTCGATCTGGGTTTTGCAAAGGTGAGGGTGATTTCTGGTAGGTGTAGGTGATCGATACTTGTAGTGAGAGAAATTTTTTTTTTTTTTTTCCTCTCTCTCTCTCTTGGTCTCTGGAAGGAAGAAATGGTCTATCAATGGTCTGATTTTTTTGTTCATTTTCAATTTCTGTTTCTGCTCATCAATCCGTGTGTTGGCCAAGAGTTAGTGGCGGAGATAGGGCTGCAAGTTGGGCGGGCCAGCCCAGCCCAACCCAACCCCAACTCAAAAATTTTAAAATTTGGACATACAATTCACAAATCGGATTCATGTTCGGATTGGGTTTAATCAAAACCCGGACAATTCGGGTTGGGCTCGGGCTCGACCGGAACCCAACCCAAAATTCAAAATTAAATTTTTTTTTTTTTTTCTCTTTTCTCTCTCCTCCCCGAAATTTTTTTCCTCTCTCCTCTTTCTCTTTCTTCTTTCTCTTTATCTTTATCTCTCTGCCTGAATTTATTTTTTTTTTTTTTCTCTTTTCTCTTCTTTCTCTTTCTTTATCTCTCTGCCGTCGTCCCTCAGCTGATCCACCGCCGCCGCCGTTACTTCCAAAAATTAAAACAAAATCCATACATACAAGTTAGCAGTTGGAGAGAGAGAGGGGGGCAAGCTTGAGAGTTGAGAGACAGCAGTTGAAGCTTGCGAACGGCGAACCCGAACTGGAACAACCGGCGATGGAAACTGAAACATATTGGTTTTGATTTTTTGAGCAATCTGAAATGATCTTAAATATATGGGTTTTGAACTTTTGATTCTTGCACACAGATCTAAAATATATAGGTTTTGAACTTTTGATTCTTGTAGATTTTGTAGTTTGAAGTTGCAGAGAGAGAGAGAGTTGAGAATGAGACTGGACGATTGGGGAGGCTGAAATGATTTGCCCTAATTTTTTTTTTTTGTTTTTTAATAATATATATATATATATAAATATATATATCTATATATATCTATATAATATATATTTTCGAAATATATATATATATAAATAAATTTTAAAAACTCAACTCGTCAACCCGACCCGACGGGCCCGAAAATATTCAGGCTGAGTTTTGACTATAACTTATGTTAGGTACAATTCGGGTTCTCCTAACCCAACCCTATTCGAGTTGAGGTTGGGTTGGGATTGGGTTGGGTTGGGTCAGCCCAACTTGTAGCCCTAGGTGGAGAGAAGGAGGTGGTGGTGGTGAGGAAGGAATGAGGGATCTGGCTATGGTAGAGGTCGGCGGCGATGTTGGTGGTTGTGGTGGTGGCGGAGTGAACTGGTGTGTGTGTGTGTGTATATACATATAAGGAGAGAGAGAGAGAGTGGAAGATGGGTGGTGGTGGCGGAGCAATGGATGATGGGTGGTGGTGGTTGCGCACTGGACCATGTTGTTGGCCATGTCGAGGACCCAAGCCACTGATGAAGATGACGATGGGGTGGGGCTTGGGGGTCTTTTTTGCTGTAGGGTCGCCGAGGAGGCGGCCCAGGTCGGCAGAATAGCTGATGATGAAGACGGCAGTACAGACTAGAGCGGCGCCGGCAGCGATGAAGGGGTGGTGGTGGCCGAAGCGGGAGGTGCAGCGGTCTCTGTAGTAGTCGGGGACGGGATATGTATTGATATAGGAGCTTTTTTTATGAGATATTTTGTATTAAACAAGTGAGGGTAAAATGATCAATTCATAAAAGTATAAAAGTAGATTGGAGTGTAAATGAGAGTTAAAATTAAAATTTCTATCTACCTAGCTGAAATATGACCCAATTTTAAAGAGTGTCGGTATAATTTACCCTTTATATAAATATGTAAAAAAAATTCATATGCTAATTTGTCAAATTTGACATATAAAATTTGAAGATTCCAATGGAAATACTTCAACAAATTTAATTATATGTAGGAAATTATAATAGTTGTAGATTTAGGATGTCACCCACTCTGTCTATGAATAATACCCGCTAACCCAGGCATGGGGCTATGCTTACAAGTCACACTATCATACTACAAAATATTACAAGCTGGTTGATAAACTCCTCTCTCTCTCTTTCTTAAGTAATGGCCAATAATACTAACACCCCCGTTATTTTTCCTGTTCTTGTAACCTCCGCTCCATCTTTCTACTTCTTCTTCTTCCTGGACTATCCCACAGTACTCATCCCTTGAAATGTTGTAAATTTGATGAGATATATAAACTCGGAGACTCCATATCCAATACCGGAAATTTGAT